CCCCCTCCCCCCAGCCCCTGGCACCCACCCTTCTACTCTCTGTCTCTAGGAATGGGACTACTCTCAGGACCTCATGGAAGTGGACCTCACAGTATTTGTGTCTGGTGTGACTGGCTTATTTCACTTAACACAGTGTCCTCGAGGTTCATTCATGTTGTGTTATGTGTCAGAATTTACTTTCCAGGGCTGAGTAATAGTCCGTTGTATAGATGTACCCCATTTTGTTTATCCATTCATCCTTCTATGGACACTTGGGTTGCTCCCACCTATTGGCCATTATGAATAAGGCTGCTGTGGACATGAACGCACAAATATCTGAGCCCCTACTTTTGCTGCTTTTAGAGATCCATCCAGAAATGGGATTGCTGGAACATACGGCAATTCTGTATCATTTCTTTTGAGGAACTTCCATACTGTTTTCCGCAACCTGGCTGTACCGTGTTACATTCCCAGCGGCAATACATATGCATTTCGGTTCCTCTGCATCCTGGCCAGCACTTGTTATTTCCTGTTTTGGATAGTAGCCATCCTAACAAGAGTTCGTGTCATCTTCGTTTTAAGTCAGACCATCCCAGTTGGCCTCTCCAAATTTGGTGATGATCTACCCAGATCTTTTCCCAGGATGCAGTGACCAATAGAAACTTCATGTTTCCTGCACGGTTGATGTGGCTGGACACCAGCAGGTGGAAGAGCCTGGGAGTCTGAGCCCCGGGGGCACCACCAGCTGGAGTGGGTGGGGACTGAGGCTTAGGTGGGGACCTGAAGTGCAGGGTTTCTTCATCTGTGTTGCCGGGGGAAGTAGGAGCGTAGAGGGAACCCAGTCTGGTAGGACTGGGTAGAAAGAAGAGGTGAGGATAGGACCCACCCTTCCAGGAATCCCCTTGGCATTGCCTGAGATCAATGGCTCTCCCTGTGAGGGCGATTGAGGTTGGCCTCTGATGGGGTCTTCTGGGGCCAGCTCTTGTCTCCCTTGAGCTGGGGGAACAGATGTTTAGTTGTCTGGAAAATAGAGAGAATGAGCCTGGCTGGTGTGGGTCAGTGGTTGAGCACTGGCCAATGATCCAGGAGGTCACAGTTCGATCCCAGTCAGGGCACATGCTTGGGTTTCAGGCTCAATCCCCAGTGTGGGGTGTGCAGGAGGCAGCCGATCAATGATTTTCTCATCATTCATGTTTCTATCTCTTTCTCCCTCTCCCTATCTCTGAAATCAATAAAACATGGTGTTTTTTTTTTAAAGAAAAGAAAATAGAGAGAATGATGGGACCTCCCTCTAAGGATTGACTTAAGATTCCACGAGACAGCATGTAGTCAGGGCACCGGTTCTGGTCACTGAGTTATTATTATTGTTACCCACCCACCTTGTTTTGGTTGGCTGCTTCAGGAGCTGACCTTAGATCAGGGATTTGAGAGCAAGCAGTTTACCTGGGAAGTGATCCCAGAAAAAGCAAGGAGGATGTGAACCTGAAAGAAGTGAAAACAGGGACTCAAACAAATACATGCCCACACAGATGCATAGCAGCACATGTCCCAATAGGCAAAAGGTGGAGACATCTAAGATGCCCATCAACAGATGAATGAATAAACACATTGGGATATATCCTTACCATGGAAAGTCACTCAGCAGAACAAATAAAGCGCTGACGCATGTCACAACGTGGATGAGCCTCGAGAACATCATGCTAAGTTCAAGGAGCCAAACACAGGTCACATGTGGTATGATTCCATTGATCTGAAATGTCCAGAACAGGTAATTACACAAAGACAGCAAGTAGATCAGTGGCTGCCGGGGGCTGTAGGTATGGGGGGAATGGGGAGCTCAGGGGGACGGGGTTTCCTTTTGGGGTGATGACAACATTTGGGGACTAGGTAGAGGTGATGGTTGCACAACCGTGTGAATGCACTAGGTGCCACTGGACTGTGAACTTTAAAATGGTTCCTTCTATGTCGTGTGACCCTTATCTCAATTTAAAGAAGGAGGTGAAGGTGGAGGAGGCCGAGGAGGAGGAGAAAGAAGTGGAGCATATCACAGAGAAACTTTCTATTGTGGCCAGCTGGAGTTTAACCCCGTTGGTAGTGCACGTGGAACCCACACCTCAGGGTCATTGCACCCAAGGGGAGAAGGCGCTGGCATCTTGATCTAGCAATGCTCCCCCGTCATGGATGAGAGCTGCTTTGGGGGCAGGGCGTGTCTTCATTTTCCAGCTCTCTGACCAGCTGCGGGGGCAGAGAAGTCAGGAGGGATGTCCTGCAAAGTCAAGGCTGAGGGCATGTGGTGGGCACTGGGGCATCCGTCTGGCTAGCTGGCGGAGACCACTGAGGGCAGGAGAGAGATGTACTCTTGGCCTCTGGAACTCACACGTATTGAGCACCTACTGTGTGCCAGGCACACCAGGCTTGACTCCACAGGTCACTGTGCATATTGCAGATGGCATACGGGTGGCCGGAGGGCGGTTTCCGTCGGCACTGACCCCTACCCTGTGTGTCCCCCCAGGATGCTGCCCGTCACGGAACATCTGCTGCGCCTGCTGGGACTGGAGAAGACCACCTTCCGCTTATATGCCGTGTCCGCGCTCCTCCTCTCCCTGCTCTTCTTCCTCTTCCACCTGCTGCTGCGGTGCCTGCGGCTCTGCTGGCACTTCTACGTCACCTGCCGCCGGCTGCGCTGCTTCCCCCAGCCGCCCCGGCGCAACTGGCTGCTGGGCCACCTGGGCATGGTGCGTGTGGGCCGGGCGGGCCGGGCGGGGCAGATCCCATGCATTCAGGGAGCCTGATGGACTGTTGGCTTTCCTCATCCCCCCCCCTCCCCCGCCCCCCCAAGAAACTGGTTGGAGCCAGGATGTAAGACTGAGGCTCAGAAAAGGGCAAGCAGTTTGCCCAAGGTCACGTGGCTGGGATGAGGCAGAGCTTACGGCAAAGCTTTCTCTGTAATTCCAGGCTATGGCTGTACCTTTCATGTGATAGAGGTTATATCCTGTGATATAATAAGATTTCATATTCAGAATACAGGTACCAATGCCTGTGAAGTTCATCAGATTCTAGGGCCCGGGTGGGGGGTGAGGGGGGCATGGTCCTGTAGATTTTGTTGCTCCATCCCCAACCCCAACTTGGTTTCATACTTTATCTCCCTCTTAAATGCTGTAGTCCCAGGTCATGGCGCCAACCTTTTCCTCGCATTTCATTTCATTTCTTTCTTTCTTAATCCTCACCTGAAGATATATATTCTGTGAAAAATTGGTTGGGCATCGTCCAGCGCACGAAAAGGTTGCCAGTTTGATTCCTGGTTGGGACACGTACCAGGTTGCAGGCTGGATCCTTGGTACGTGGTGTGCAGGAGGCATCAATCAATGTTTCACTCTGATATTTTGCTCTCATATTGATGTTTCTCATTCTTCCTCTCCCTTCCTCTCTCTCTAAAAATCAATAAATTGAACAAAAAGATTCTTTAAAAATTTGATTTGAAGGAGAGAGGGAGGGGGGCGGAGAGAGAAAGAAACATGGATGTGAGAGAGAAAGATCTATCGGCTGCCTTCTGTACTTGATTGAACCCGCCACCTTTCGGTGCTTGAGACGACACTCCAATGAACTCAGCCACCCAGCCAGGGCACATTTTATTTCTTATTTCACATGTATGTGCCAAGTATTATGCCAGACGATTTATAAATGTTTACTCCTTTAGTCTTCTTGACAATCCTAGGAGGTCGGTCCCTTTACTATCCTTACTCTGCACCTGAAAACACTGAGGCTCAGAGAGCTTACGTGACTGGCTCTAGGTCACACAGCTTGTGAATGGCAGAGCTGGAGTCCAAACCCAGCTCTCTGGCTCCAACACACCTGCTCTTAGCTCTCTTCCCTCTACTACCTCTATTTTCTTTTTTTTAAAAAAATATTTATTTTATTGATTTTTTACAGAGAGGAAGGGACAAGGATAGAGAGTTAGAAACATTGATGAGAGAGAAACATCGACCAGCTGCCTCCTGCACACCCCCTACTGGGAATGTGCCCACAACCAAGGTACATGCCCTTGGCTGGAATCGAACCTGGGACCCTTCAG